CATCCATCCATCCATCCATCCATCCATCCATCCATCCATCCATCCATATAATAGAATAGAACAGAATAGAATATTGAATCATCAAAAATGTTTTATCATGATTTTATAACATTTCTAATTAGTTTTTTAAATATTAGAATTACGCAATCATTATTTTCTCAGTTTTTTTAAGACTTTGTCATGTGTCTATGCTCTTCCTGTGTATGTTTAATTTAGCATCTTTTCAATTGTGAACACAAAGTCCAGTATAAAGAATTACAGATTATTATGATACATAAAGCAATGTAAATAAACCACTAAACCTTGATGAAAAAACTCTATAAACCTAAAAGACAATATATAAAATATGACTTTATACGTATAAATTGTATTTTTCACACTGTAAAAGTAACACAGCTCTGTGTGTTAGCAGTGGTGGAGACACTTGATCTTCATGATATTTGCTTTACATGAAACTTATGAAGGAGAATTTGTCATTTTTATGGTCATTAAAGGAAACAGTCCGGCATACATCACAGTAAGCCGTGGCCCTGAACACTTACTCATTTCGACATACAGTTGCCTTCTATCTGCCATGTTGTCACCTCTCTGCCCGCAGTCTTCAATCATTCTGATCAAGAGGAGAGAAAATAATGTCAGTGCCTCAGAATTAAGTTTCCATTTTGGCATTGTTCAGTCCCAGAGTAGGCTCCTTCTAATGCTTCCGGTTCTATTCTGTACAAATTAACTGCAAAACTCTATCGTATTCCCAGCAAATTTACAAAGTTTTTGTTAATCTTTCCAATACTCACCATTATGTCAGTTTGAAAAGATACAACTCAGTGTGTGCTCATAGTATCATTTTGTTGTTATCCATTTTCAGTGACAGGACCAAATTTGAGCCTTGTTCAATAAAGCCTACATGCAAACATCAGCTTTTATCCTGAAAGAAGTTACTTTTCCTAATTTAAAACTGAACAGAAAGCAGCGTGTCAACTCCACCCATCCACACATAGATTTTATTATCTGTATCACTCCTCTATCACACTGTAGAACTTAATATTCTGAATCCATCCATCCATTTTCTGAACTGCTTATTCCCATATGGGGCGCGGGGGGGGGACTGGAGCCTATCCCAGTATTTAATGGGCGTGAGGCAGGGTACACCCTGGACAGTCCGCCAGTCCATCACAGGGCCACATAGAGACGCACAAAGACAAACAACCACGCACACTCACATTCACTCCTAAGGGCAATTTAAAATCTCCAATTAACCTATCATGTAGGTTTTTTAGACAGTGGGAGGAAGCCGTAGTATGCAAAGAGAACCCATGCAGACACAGGGAGAACATGCAAACTCCACATGTGTATTATTTACTCTTTTTCTCAGGCTGAAAGGTAATTTTTGGAGGCCTTGAGGTTGGCATGACTCCCTGATGTTAGCCCAGTTTGCAAAATGAGCTTTGTGCTCCTGTGTTTGAAAGAACACTAGAGAAAAATGACCACTAGAATACCCGAACACATGAACTAGGTTTGCATAATCTTATAAAAATCTTGACGTTGTAACATTTTTCAGAATAAATAAAAATTCCTAGTTTTAGTTGAATCAATGATTTAGAGTCCGCCTTAAGGGAACATTTTCAAAGAGTAAAACCCTTAATGATCCCTTAATGCCAAACTTTGTGGTTTAATGCAATCCAAAACAATAGCTTATGGACAACCACTACTGCTCTCTTCCTCATAACTGAGGCTGTTTTCTCTATCACAACCCTCCGTGATGCTGGGAAGTGCAAAGAACACACCTGAAAAGTGAAATGATACATATATCATATATACTATGTAAAATACTATGTAACTTGTCTGCAGTGGGAGCAAATTGCAGGGGTGCACCCACTCTCAGTAGCAACTCTCTGTGGGATAGCAAGGAGATGCTGGGAGAGAGAATGATTTACCCGCCCTGTTGCTCTCACTGCAGGGAAAGAGGCACAGGTGGCCACTTTCTTCCTCTGGATCTGAGCACTTCTAATGGGAAGCTCCTATTAAATAAATCAACTGGCTCACTCCACCAGTCTGTTGTGTTTATTTTTGCAATCGTCCTTTTCTACAGCTTTTTCCTCTACCTCACTCATCCTAAAATGTGCATGCAGCATATTGTGTGATTTTGTTTATTGTGGCTTAAAAAGAAATCAAGGAACTTTTACATTCTCAGCCGGACTGTCATCATAGATTAGTCACAGATGTGAGTAATCAAATATAACTCATATCATGTCATTTAGCCAGATATACCAATATGAAGGATAAAGCAATACATTAGCTTTTTTATGTTTATCAAAACAATAGAATGGCAGCTAAGATAAAAAGCCTGTCCCAAAATAGAAAAACACAGCAATAGTATTTTGAGTATTCCGCTAGGATGACTGACAGATGTTACTGGAGTGTAGATCTTCCCAAAAAGGGTGTGAAAAGGGGCCCACATCTTTCTCTGCCCCAGTGCCCTTCCACAGATTAACCAGGCCCTGCTGCTTCCACGTTAACCTCAGTCTTTTAGGGACAAGCACAACCGAAATCTATCACAGTACAGTGGTTATCTGAAATGCACGATCCAAAAAAAAAACCTTAAAAGTTAGACAAAGACAATACTTTGAAAGGGGCAGAGCTGCAGAAAGAATGCTCACACCATGCTTCACTGCACACTGTCCGAGGCAATCTAATACACATAGTCATGTGGTCTGTTGCCATGGCAGCAAAGATCCCAGCCGCTCCACTCCGTTTGTAAAGACACACACACTCACACTCACACTCAAACATACACACAACACCTCCCACTGCATACAAGCAAAGTTTTAGGAAGAAAGGTTGTTTTTTTTTGCTTACAAATATCTTTTATGAGATGATGTTCAGTGGGATGATAGTTGAGAACAGAATTGGACTTCTTGGGTTTGTGGCTCGAAAACACTTTTACTGCAAGATGACCGTCCAAGCATACGATTTTAAATGACTCTGACAGTAATTGGCAGACCAAAATACTGAGCTGCTACAACCCATAGTGCAGACAAAATCCACCTATTGTCTAGAAGTAAACAAGGTGAACATTTGCTTTCCTATGGCATTTTAATGACTATTCAGTCACTTTTACTGAAGTAGGACGATTTGAAATCCAATAGATCTAAGATTTAAGAATATAGTAAAACAAATTAAAATCTAAATCAAATGGTTGATTTTAATATATTACGTCAAAACATAGGAGCTAGCATTCCCTGCAGAAAAACTAAGGTTTTGTTCGCTTAGCATTCAAATAGTGCAATAGTATAAATGATAAATGGAACTCATGTCAGTTACAAAGCAATGATGAATATAGCCACAGCAGTAAATAACAGTCTTAGATGAACAACAATGTCAGACCACTGCAAGCAGCTACTAGCCCAATGTCATCTTGAAATAATGACTATTCTGGCCCATTTGTAACCTACACAGTGAGTGAGTGTAAAAGGGAACAAATATACACAGTTTTACAGATAGTCATCGATATCCTCTTCCATATTGCAACTAAGCACATCCAGAGTTTTACCCATGTGACCTTCTCTTATCTGTTTTTAGTCTTGGAAATAACTGAGATTGATACAATCTATTGGAAGAGCTGATATTAAACCAGCAAAACCAATACAGCATGTGTGTCCGCTAAGGGAAAAAGATCATCTGCGTACCTTTCATAAAGGACCATGGTCGCATTCCTTTCCCTTGGCTGAGCTGAGTTATTAAAAAGCCAAGACGTCCATCGTGACACAGCTGTCCAAAACACAACCTTCTTTTAAACAAGAAAGCAGCACAAACAAAATCTGCCTGTGTGGATGCGAAAAAGGAGAAGATATCTGAAATTAGAAGCTGGAAGCCAGGATACCATGTGTGCTGCCTCTATCTTTAACTACAAATGAGAAGGGCCCACATTCTTGAACAGCTTTGCTCGCTCTCTAGCTGCAGACCCCAAACCTCAGTCCTGGCATCGACCCAGCTAACATTAGTCTTTCTCTGTGGCACTGTCACTGACAGAATTAGAAAATAACTACCCTTAAAAGAGCAAATTATGTCATCCTGAGTACAGAAGGACTGGTAAGGCTAAGCACAAACAAGGGTCTCACTGGAATGACTCATACTATCTTTTAATGCTGCACAGCATACGCACTGACCCAAAATCAGAATGAAAACAAGGGACAAAAGCTGTTTTTGTCAAATATTTACGTTTCGATTCTATTTCTGTGATAGTTTAATAAAAACACAGAGGTCCGTGCTCTTAATTTATGTCCTTCTCAATAAAGTGGGGACAACATATCCAAACACAAGCACTTACTTGAGTTACAGTCCAATCTGCCTGGCTCAGGACAGTTCAACGCAGCTGTTACCGCTGATTGAGCGGAGTTATTTTTACATCTCAAACTAAACTACACCGGCGCCCGAATCCCATCCCCTGACGAGAGACACAAAGCTGCACGGTGGACGTCCGGTTTAATTTGCTGCTGTGCATTGTTGCTTTAGTAAAGGTTACGCAGACAGTCAAACAGGTTTTGTGTTCCTGCCCGGTACCAGCCAGGGATATCTCCTGGACGGCCCTCTGCTCGTTGTCGCCTGCTGATCATCACCATGGTTTCAGCTGCAAAAAGGCAAAAACTTTTGGACCCTGAGAGCAACTACAAATTTATAGTTTCTGGTGTGTAGATGTAGTCTGTGACACTGTTCCTTGTTTTTCTTTTCCAGCTTAAAAAAAGGATGCAAACTGACCATTTTGTGATGTGATGATGATATCAATCAGGATTACAACCACAAGTTTAAAAGATCTACAACTGTGAATGGATTTAACCCTTTCTCCATGTCTTCTTTTAGAAAATTTGACTCCAATTCTCAACATCAGAGGACATAAAAAAAGGACAACAGGATCGGCAACAAGCACCTGGAACATGCCCTGCTCATGCATCACCTGTCAGGCTACAGACACCTGTATGGACGTAAGATAAGGGTCTGTTGTCTATTCCAGAAAAAAAGAAATTACCTGCAACTGCAACCCAGCTTCTGCGTGTTTTATCCAGCGAATCTCCAATTTATCGCCAAGAACTTGACACTCATTTCACCCATAGTAGCAAAAGTAGGTTAAGGTCGCTCCTCAGCTGAATGCCAGCTTCCAGCGGCTGCAGCGGCGCACTTGCAAAAGACTTACCAGAATTTATTTCGAGGCATGTCATGCAACAATCGCCGTGTTCCAGCCGGGCGTGCGTCGTGTCCCGCGGCGCAGTCAGGGTTTCTTTGGTGTAGGATGCTGCATCACCGCACGAAGCGGCTGTTTCTTGCGCCGCTCTCCCGCAAAGCTCGTGTTGTGGAAATGTTCGCGCAGCTCACTGGCTGGGCACAACGCGGCAGCGTCTGCCTCCAATATGTGGCCTCCGCGGTGACGTAATGCGGAATCTCTCCACATGCGCCAGTGTGGCTGCAAAGTTTGATAGAAAACGGAGAGGAAAAAAAAAAAAAAAAAAAACATAAAAAGGGGGGGTCGTTTTACGCGCATACGTATAGTAACAGTATCTGCAACCGTTTGACAGATTGTCACGTTTGGTGACGTCACAGAGATAAACAATCATGCCAGTAAATTTGTTTCATTTTGATGACTTACGATGTTACTTTTGGTCAAATTAAACCTCATTCATAATAACACAGGGTGGATATATACTTCTTTTATGGACCTTTGGTTTCCAATAAACGCATGCTCTCATGTGTGAAGCCCTTCCTTAAATAATTGTTAATAAATCAAGACATAAATTATGCAAAATCGATCATTCATTACCTCTAAGAAAAAAATGTAAACACCAAAACAAATTATTATACTGCTGACTGTCCACTGATGCAGTATTGTAAAGTAAATCAATTTCAATAAAGAGGAACAACAAATAACATTTATTTCAACAAATATATGTGATCTAGCTACACATCTTTTAGAGAATAAAAAAGATAGAATCGTCTTTTCTAATCTGTAGCCTACATATATGAATTGTATCATTAATTAAGTTTTTTTAGATTAAAAAAATCTATTTAAGATTATTTTAGGCTTTTAATGCATATGTTGCTACTAATAGTAGTAGCATCAGTAGCAACATAAGCATATAAAAATAGTCTTAACTTAAAACTATTTGAAAGTAGCTTCTTGATTTGAACAACTGCGCATGAACACAACTCACTTTGTTAAAGTGCAGCCCCTTGTTGCTAAGCAACCTCTGGGGAAGATTGACAGGAACTTCTCTCGAGTCAATCGGAGAAAACGTCAACAAAACGCAACTTTTTAACCGAGAAACCACATAGTTGTCCCACAGGGACACAGTGACACTCTGCAAGTAAGTTGATAGGTAGCCATTTTTCGCTTCCACTCTCTCCCATGACAACGACCCCCTCAGCTCATGAATTTATCATTAGCTAAGTTAATTAACCGTTAACTTAACGTTGGCTAAGAGAGTAACATCCGGAGATGAGTGAAAGTATCCGTTGTACGTTTAGTACACTTTTACAAACTTTGCTCCTAATTTCAAGAGTCATATCTACATTAACGAATGGAAACTAAATGATTGCAGAAAGCATTTTATGCATTGACAGTTAATCCCACCTGAAAGAGTTTGTGCAATGCCAGACGTGGAGCCCCTCAGATTCCCATCCAGGGAAGGACGACCAAGTCGACAAGGTGAGCAGCAAAAGGGGGCAAATATTATTTCTCTGTTGATGGACTTGAAACTTAAACATTTTGTATTTAACCCTATGAGATTTGTAGATACATAATAATACAAAGCACTTACAACAATACAAAAAAAAAAATCGGGTTTTTTTTTCAGTAATTAATCATAACTTTCTTATTGGAAGATTTTCTCCATGCATTTGGTTTGTTTGATTTTTATTCCTCTGAAAAGGGTAAAATCATCATGAAAACTACATAATCAGTTATCAGTAAGCCACTGACAGCTGATTGAGCCTCACACTGAACCTGTTCTGTGTCTCTGATAACCTTATCAGAATGATTTAGAGGGGACGCAGGCCACCACTGGCATATTGCCTTACCACAGTTCTTCCACTGTGTTGTTTTATTAGTATATTATTCAGCAAAGCGGTTCAGCACCAGATGTTCTACATTTAAGTTTTCTCTAGAATTTTTCTTACCATGCTTGGTCTGAGCTTGTGTACGCACAATCCGTTCTTCTAATTAAATGGAACTTCAATGCAAAATAACCTCTCTGTAAAATAAAGAAACGTTCCAGTTATCACTGCCTATATAAGACAATACCACAACACTCAAGGTGCAATAAATATGATGGACATACACTTGTCGCTACAAATGACTTGTAACTTTTACCCTGGACCTGCTCTGCCCTTATGCTGCAAAGCTGATTGCAAACTCACAGGATTGAAATATTTCCAGCCAAAATTTTCCAAAGATGCCTCAGCCAGCCAATTAAACGTAATACCCAACCCAAAGTGCTAATGAGTTTTTTAAAGTTGCTATTCACAAGTCACCGTTTAGAAGTAAAAAGCTTTTTTTAATCTTTTGGACCAAAAAAAAGTAAAAAATGTTATTAAAAGCCTTGCTATGAATATACTGTAATTTATATTGAACATCCTCTGAATAAATCACCTCATCTAACTTGTGACTTATTCCTCAAATATTTTTGAGTTTTTGTGTTTTCCAACTTTTGTCTGGTACTGCTGCTTGTTTTTATTGTTTTTAAAGTTGAATTAAGATGGATCAACGTTTCATTCAGTTCATTCCCTTTGTGGTGAGTGTCCACAACACCTTGTTGGGAAAACTAAGCATATAGTTGAAATAATGGTAACCTGAATTGTTTATTAATCCTAAAGTAGAAAATGATGGCTGTTCGAGGTTGACATTGTCTGGCGTGGTCTCCTCAGACATAAACTTTTTGACAAAGTAGGGTCTGCTTGTGAGGGAGTACAGAATCTACATGATTGTGGAAACATCAGTCATTTCCTATTTTCTTTATTATCTTTATTATTATTTATCTATTTTCTGATTTATTAATGTATTGAATTTCCTCAGTACCCATGAACTTTTTAGAATAACTTTGGGTGTTTGAACATTTCATCTTGAAGGTGAAGAAAGATTAGTTTTCAGTATTAAGACCTGCAAGTATTAATTTAGCCCTGTTAAATGTAAATTTGTTCCATTTCTGGTACCTGACAGACACACCCATATTGGACTTGAGTAGGACTGTAACGCTGATCGATTATGCACAATGCAATCTTTACACACTGTTTATTTCTCATACAATGTTTTTCTGGCTGATTTCCCTCTATTAGACTTTACTAATTACCACCATAAGTAAAACAAAAAGAAAAGGTTTTCTTTCTGTTCCTTTTTAGATTACACATGAAGTGTCTTTCAATATATTTCAGGCAGGTGGCGTCCTTTTACCACTAAGAAATATTCTGTTAGTTTTGTCTGGCAGAACTCAAATTAGTCATCTCTGTTCTCTAAAAGATGCTGCCAGAGTTTAAATAAAGCTCCCCAAACCATTTTCAACAGCCAAATATATTTTTTAATGCTTTTCTAAATATTTTTGATGCAGAATGTTTTCTTCGACAAACTGATGATGTGACATATTTAAATTTCTTTATTAGCAATTAGTTCATCAGTTTGTTCATCACTATTACTGTGTATTAAGGTTATTGCTTTTATTTTCAGGATCTGCATCACACACTTTAGAAATACAAATTGAATGGTCAGTTTAAAAACATTTTTTCCCTATATTCTGTCTCTAAGATCAAGCAGACCTTCAAACTGTCTGCTCTGGCAGACGACGCACTTGTGCTTTGCTGAACAGCCCCTCACCATGTGTCAACAGTGCTATTTACCATATCCAAGAAATGAAGATGACGGTGGAAAATTGGTGTCAACAGGTAAGGTCACTGCGTATACATGATCAGATTTGTGACATGATCAGATTATAGTTGGTTTTATTAGGATGGGAGCCATTCAAAGATCTTTTTACCCCTTTGTCTTACATCAGTCTGGGAGATATCATTCGAACATTGATCAGGACAAAAAACATTACAGCAAAACAAGGAAAGTTATATCATTGTTTCATTTAGTTATTTAATACTATTTTTGATATGAAATATGACTAACACGGGTTTTCAACAGGTTTCAGTCAAAAGACTCGGATTCTGACTCCGTGGTGTCTACAGACTTGTTTGTTGAAGGAATAGCAATCAGTGCAAGAGGTAAATACATTTTTTTTGCAATACTAAGTAGCTTGTTTTGACTATAAACAAAAAAACATTAACAAAAAATCTTGAGCATTTTTATTTGGAAGTACTTTCTTAGTGAAGTAACATATTAAATATTATGAAATCATGCCTTATAATAACACTTTGTAGTAGGATACAATAGTTTTATAAAGTTAACATTACAAATATGATGTGTATTAGTTTAAAGTGATGTGATACAATGTGATTGAAAGTGAAGGTCATCTGAAATCTTCCATCTCACAGAAAGCTGTCCATCGTCACCACTATTGAAGAAAGTAAATGAAGTCCTGACAGAGGTTGTGTATTTGATTGAACGTTTGGAAGCTGATCGGCAGTCTGCAGAGGAAGGTCTCCAAAAGGAGAAGCAGAGAAAAAGACTTTTGGAAAGTAAAGTCGACAGCATTGCGCTGTGGAAGCAAAATGAGCACGCTTACGTTGTCCAAAAAGGTCAGCAACTCACAAGTGTCACTTCACCTGAGGTTTATTTCTTTTCAGTATGAGTCTGTAGTTTGTCTATGCAATGCAGAAAATGAATTTGAAAAATAATTCAATTTAAAATGTAATTGTGTCATTGTCTCTTTTTAGAACACGAAGCATGCATTAGAGACATAACTGAGTTGAAGTTTCAGCTTAAGATGGAAAGAGAGAAACTCGAGCAGGTCCAGCAGAAGTTTTCACGCACTGAGGTGTTAAACCAGCACTTAAAGGGAGACATCAGCTTTGCCAAAAAGCAAATTCCCATCGTGAGAGAAAATCTGGAGCATCAGAAAAGCATCACAATTCCAATCAAGAATGCACACGCTAAGGTAGAGCCTTGTTTGATTTAATTTATTAGTGTGATCTTATTTTCAAACTCGCTAAGTCTGTAAATTTTAATGACATGTTTACAAGATGAGGAACTGTTTAGACATTTATTCAAGCATTATTCTGATGATATTTAACGAAGACATCATCAAAAGTTCGTATGCTTTCCACACTGTACCGTGAAGTGAATAATACTCATTATTATTTTATTTCTTTAATTGAAAAAGCTTTCTGTGTGTCTTGTGTTATGTTGCTATACAGGTGAGTGCACTTTCTGTCTTTACTCTAACTGTAATCCAGAAGTAAAATGGTGGTCAGGATCGCAAGAGATGATGCAACTTCTAAACACAAATTAAAAGGCTAAATATTTTTACTCAACTCATAAAATAACTTGAACCAAAGGTATAATCTTTATGACATTGAGGGTTTCAGAGAATTCTACTCATGTGAACTTTAAGTCACCTGTTATTTACGGTAGGTATGACACAATATTTGTATAGAATATTGTTCAGAGGGTATGACTTAAGATGTCTGTTAGAATTAATAACCTGGGATAATTTATTCAAAATGTTATCTGAACAAAACATTTTACATTTTGTTACAAAAAATCATTTCTTAGGCTGGTGAATTATGCTCAAAAACACAAAGTGAGCTCCTTCTAGCTCAGAGGCAGTTAAACGAGATGAAGCTCCGCGCCAACAAAGAAAAGATGTCATCTGATGATGTCCTGCTGGCAATGAAGAATCAGCTGGCAGAGAAACTGTAAGTGTCCATCTAAACAACATGAAAAAAATGGTCTCTCCATCAGTGTTATAGATATTTTAAGTGAAGAGGTTTGATGAAAATGTTTTTTAGATTTTGTATTAATTTCTTTTTGAAAATAGATGTTAACAAAAATAATTTTTAACAGTACTGGTTGGCATCGATCATCTCTATTTTTTTTAAAACTAGAGTAACACTTTTAGAATAGATTAACCCAGAATGCAAACCAAGATACTTTATGTTAAAGTCCATGTAACCATAGCAACAATACTTTTCATTGATGTAGTCCATGCTGAACCTCACAGTATTCACAGTCCAAGCCATCTATTGAAATGACTACAAGTGAACTTTGAAAATTGTTGCATGCAAATGTTTTCAAATACAAATGTAATGGTCTTTGCTAACCCTTTTGAACAAGGTTTGACTTCACAATCATGTAAAGACAAAAATTGTGTTGTTTTTTTTTCTAGAGAAAATTTAAAGAAGTTGGGTACACTTGAGAAAAGTCTTTTGTCTGCGATACACGATGCTGAGGATACCTTTGCTCTGACAGAAAAAAAGTGTGAACTCATTAATCAGCAAATGCCTGAACTTATGGAGCTTGAGAAAGCGGAAAAAGACAGGGTACAAAATAAGAGATCAATTGAATCATATTGTCTTATATCTTAACGTGAATGACATCTACATTTTTCACTTTCATTACAGATTTCAGAAATGAATTTAGAAATTGAGGCTGAAATGCAGAAGAATATAAATTTTAAAGAGACACTTAATTTGCTGTTAGAGGACATTGAAAAAACAGTAAGTAATTCCTATAACCAATGTCACAACATCTTTTCCATTGAGTGAGGCTTTTGCCTAGGTGGTTGATCGGGTAAAGAATGCAACTACAAGGCTACCATTAAGCTCTTACTGGAGCCGTGCATGCTAATGATGTTTGAAGTCATGTCACCTTAAGGAGTTCTGGGTATGTGCGTTCATACTGTATGTAATGTATTTCACAGAAAATCAATGGGGAAGCTGAAGTTTTCTGCTTAGAGGAGCAGCTACGATCTAAAAGTGAAGTTTTTGCCGCTCTCCGCAAAGAAAATATGGAGTATGAAGAAAGTGTGGAGGACTACAAGATGAAAGTTATTAAGAGGTAAAGTTGGTTACCTCTCAGGTTAGAAGAAGAAAATCAGATCTCTCATCATCCCTTATTTAAAACCACTGCTGCATGAACTTCACAGTGAACCACTTATGTGTGTACTTACCATATGTATACTTAATTTTTTATTGTTGTTAGTGAGGAACTTGTGAAGCAGATGCGTGAGGAGATGAAGCAGATGCTCCAGGAAATCAATGACAATGACGAGCGATGGGGAAAGGCCAAAGAGGAAGTCACCAAAGTTGTTGCTGAGCATGGTGTCATTCAGGCTAGGCTGGAAGAAGAGGAGCAGCTCACCTTCATTGAAGAACAAAGGGCCAGGGTCAGTTACACCATATGTGCTCATTTTTTTGTCCATGCTTCACAGCATACCATGCATTAAAATATATATATTTTTTCCTCCCAGTAATGTTAAGTGTTCTTTCCTATTATAGATTGAGATTGAAAATTTGAAAAAAGATCTTACTGTTGAGATGACAGCCTTGGAAGTGGTAAAGGTAAATATCTATATTGCTCCAGATATTTTCCACCTCAACCAAGTATCTTTTACTGAATATAAACCAGTATTTAAGAACTAAAAAAGACAATTAACTTCTAAAATGTAGTTTTTAATAGAATCTTTTGTTTTATTACTGATTCAGAGTGATATATCGTGGTTGTTTTAAGTGTTAAAGATTACCTTCTTCCTTGTGATTTTTCATCAGGATCAGTGTGCAAATGTGAATAAGGAACTGGAGCAACACCAAAACAGTTCAGAGAAAACTAACCAACAACTTAGGAAAGAATTTGAAGCAGCATCCTCAGCACTAAAGGCTTTGGGAGATAAAGTTCAGGTATAGATGAGACTTTAAAATAGTTCCTGTTTGCAGATAAGTTTACATTAACAATTCAGACATTTGTGAAAGCATTTTTCTAAATATTAAATCTACATTCCTTTTGTTTAACAGAAAAAAAAAGAATTGACAGAAGATTGGGAAAAGATGCAGTGCGAACACAAGAAGATATTAATGAGTCTAGAAGAGGAGAAAAAACTAAAATGTGACCAGCTTAAAGCTGCACAGGTTTGAAAGAAAAGCCGTACTAACCAGCTTGTCTGGAGGGGTTGAAGACGTTGATAAGTCGGGTTTACTCTGTAAAGCTTACTGAGCTCAGAGCTAGTCACAGCTATTGACCATATCATGCTTTTGTTGAAAACTATTGTCTTTTAACCTACACTCTTTGCTTTATTGGTGTTTTTAACATCATTGCTTCTCCATATTTATAGGATTTGCACTCTGCCACCATAGAGAGATATAACACCACTGTGGGTAACATCAAGGATAGAATTGGTAAAACAGAAGAATACCAGGAGGCTTCAGATAAAATGGAAAAAAGCATTGAAAATTTGCCAGAGGTCATAGCAGAACTTCAGTAAGTTACAGGTTTAAGCAAATGAATAAAATTAATACAGAATTGTATATAGAAAGATCACATTCTCCATCTTAAGGTAAAACTCTGTTTAGTGTCATCTTGCCTTCCAAGAACACCTTCCAGAAAAATAGGTTTTATGATAATTCAGAAGCATTGTATAGCTGTCTGTGTTTGATTTCACCCTACAGAAGAGATTTGAATGTGCTGGAGTTCAAAAACAAATCGGCTGCTCTCATAATGAGCACCTTGCAGTCTGATATTAATAACTGCCAACAACGAACACAGCGATCCATGCAGACACACACGGCTCTTGTTACAGCAAGAAAAAAGCAAATGGAAGACACTAAGGTAAAAAAAAAGAAAAAGAAAAAAGAAAGTTGCTCACAGTAACTCTGTAAATACATGACTTTTTGTGTCAAATACTGTGAAGTCAGAGACAAGCTGTAAAAAACACCTCATTGTTTATTTGTTTTTGGATTAGTGTCAGCACATTGCTTGTCACAGTACTTCCCTTAAGATACGGAGAAAAGAGCACTGTGCAATTAAAATTACAAGCCATGGTCAATCTCATTTAAGTGCTTTTGCCACAAATGACAACTTGCTGTTGTTGTTTTAGTATTTTTGTCTGGACGGATTTGATGATGCATGCAGTGGGGAGATGCTGCGCTTATTTTGTTACCTGTGGGCCAAGATTTTCAGCAGCAGTTTTTAGCTCAAGTGCACAGTTCACTACATTGAAAAACCATATCATATGGACTTTTGTATATTCCTGTCCTGAGACAGACTTCTAGAAACACAAATTTGCTCTGCACCAAATCGCATGCATTTGAACACTCCTTTGTAAGAGAAACCCCTATTTATTGTAAGGTTTTCATCTGCAGGATTATCAGCCCCAGCCAGAGCCTCTTTGCTGATGGGGGTTTCACATGGCTTATCTAATGTGAAATCGCCATGTGGTATATAGTTTCATTAAACGGTGATCAAGAATGCATTAGTTCAAAACAAGAAAAGGCAATGGAGCTTAAGCTGCCATGCATCCAAGTGCAGCAACTTTAAAGAAGTTGTTGGCGTGAGACAATTTAAGAATTAGAAGTCTTCCGCATAGACACAACTCCCATTAGCCAGATAAAAGTTAGCCATGCAAAAAAAGGTTTAGTTTTTTTGACTTGACAAAATAAGACGACATAAAAACAAAACAAAATTCTCTACTAAATAAAAAGATCAGAAAGAGTTAGAGATTAGGCCATTTTAATCACTGAGACCAATATAAAGAACACATAATGTCTATATTAGCATAACATAATAAGCAGTGTGCATTCAGAAATCATAGTGCATGAAGCAGAATGATTAGACACTTTCAAATATGAGAATTTATAGAAATATGCTGACGTCAGCTCCTCTGTTTTTTTACAAACTGTTCCTGTTTCTAATTTTTTATGTTGCTGTATTTGGCTGTAATAGATAAAAACACAAGCTGTATCATGGCGATATGGTTTAGTTTTTAAGGAACCTGTGGTCCTTTCTTTTCAACTCACAGATATCTGAGAGGAATTCAGCTTTAAACATACACCTATGTTTTGATTTGATCAGGGTTTGGCGTCGGCGAGGACAAAGTAAACAATGCAAACTGCCGACGCTATCAGTTTCTTATGGGCAATGAAGTGTAATTTGTTCCATTTACACTTCACAACAGCATCAGATGGGCTTTGTCAGTGCTGCATGGAGTAATTAAACCTGAAATCAATAGCAGGCATTTGTCATGTTTACAGCCCCTCTTTCTGCTGGGTTAAACTCATCACTTTAGTGCTGTTCTGTTTTACTGCAGAGACACACTTCATTATGTCTGCAGGTACAGCTGAGATATTCACACATCCCCTTATCCAGCACCTAGGAAACATTGTTCAAATGAAAAGGGGACATGCACAGAGTCTTACTCACTGTGATTTATTTGCTTGATTTCACAGAAAAGTGTCTTTTGTTGGATGCCTGTTGTTTATGGTGCTTTATTTAATGGTGAAAGTAAAGAATGCACATAATGTGTCACAGTCACATGTAGCAGGACAGTGTCAAAGATAAAATTACTTCTGGGCTGCTAAACACACGGCTAGTGATTCTCCAGTTCCATAAACTATAGGCAATATTTTCTGTGCATAGCTGGTTGTGAATCACGAAAGCATTGATCGTTTGTTTTTTTACATTTGCACTGATTATCATGAGCTATTGTTCTTCATTTTATTATTGGTGTTTTTTTTATAGTATTGTTACACTAGTTATAGAAGACATTTCTGAACTGGTTCTGCTCTAACTGTAAACTGAGATCTATCTATCTATCTATCTATCTATCTATCTATCTATCTATCTATCTATCTATCTATCTATCTATCTATCTATCTATCTATCTATCTGTCTGTCTGTCTGTCTGTCTGTCTGTCTGTCTGTCTGTCTGTCT